CTCCACTGCACCTTCACTAAGCTCACTGCCCGGTTCCTCAGCTGGTGGACCTTCCGGTCCAAGATGGCTACCGGCACCTCCTCGTAGGTGAGGTCTCGCTCGACCTGCAGCTCGCCGAAGTCCACCACATGATCAGGATCATGCACATACCTCTGAAGCATCGAGACATGGAACACGTCGTGCACACCCGACAAGTCTGGTGGTAAAGCCAACTGATACGCTAAGTTCCCGACTCGATCGAGGATCTCGAACGGCCCAATATAGCGAGGTCTAAGTTTCCCCTTCTTCCCGAAGCGAATCACACCTCTCATGGGTGAAACCTTCAAGAAGACATGATATCCCACTGCATAAACATGCTCTTGCCTCTCCCGGTCGGCATAGACCTTCTGCCTCTCCTAGGCAGACCTGATAGTCTTCCGGATCCCCTCAACTGTCGCTGCAGTACTCTGAACAAAATCCGGACCCGTGATCCTCCTCTCTCCAACTTCATCCCAATACAAAAGAGTTCGGACCTTACGTCCGTACAAAGCCTCGTACGGGACCATCTTGATTGAAGAGTGGTAACTATTGTTGTAAGTCAGCTCGACTAGCGGAAGGGCATACTCCCAAGTCAGGCTTTGGTCCAAGACCACAGACCTCAATATGTCCTCCAAGTACTGGATCACACGCTCCGACTGACCATCTGTCTCGGGGTGAAAGGCTGTACTGAACTCCAACCTCGTCCCCATGGCTCGGTGCAACGTCCTCCAGAACTGGGATGTGAACTTGGCATCTCGATCTGAAACAATCTCCACGGGCACCCCATGAAGCTTGACAATGTCCTTGACGATCAATTCGGCATAATCACTCGCCTTCATGGTCGTCCGAACTGGCAGAAAATGGGCAGACTTCGTAAGGCGATCCACTATCACCCAAATCGAATCATACCCACCCTCGACTTTGGCAGTCCCACTAAGAAATCCATGGTGATGCACTCTCACTTCCACAGGGGAACCTCAAGGGGCTGCAATAACCCTTTCTGTTTCTGGCGCTCAGCCTTCACTTGCTGACCAGTCACCCATCCACGAACTTTGCTACCTGCCTCTTCATGCCTCGCCACCAGAAAGATTTCCTCAGGTCCTGATACATCTTCGTGCTACCAGGATGGATGGTGTACGGAGCACTATGGGCCTCTCTCAAAATCTCCCTTCGCAGTTCCCACACCCTCGGAACACAAAGTCTACCCTCAAAGACCAAAGCCCCATCAGATGCGACTGCGAATCAACCAACTCTACCAGCTGCTGACAACTCTCTCATCCGGCATAGGAAAAGGTCGTTCGGCTGCTCGGCGACTATCCTCTCTCGAAGAGTCGGTCCCACAACCAAAGAGGCCAATACGCCCCCGACTATCGAAGTTGACTCCACTGCCTCCAGCTGTAATCGCTCGAACTCCCGAAGAAGAACATCCTGCCTGGTGAATAGGCAAGACAGCTGGCCATAACTCCTCCGGCTAAGGGCATCGGCTACCACGTTAGCTTTCCCAGGGTGATAGCTAATGGTGCAGTCGTAGTCCTTGACCAGCTCCAACCATCTACGCTGCCTCATGTTCAGCTTCTTCTGAGTGAAAATGTACTTCAGGCTCTTGTGGTCGGTAAAGATCTCACACTTGCCTCCATAAAGGTAGTGCCGCCAAATCTTCAAGGCGTGGACAACTGCAGCTAACTCGAGATCATGAGTGGGGTAGTTCTGCTCATGAGGCTTTAGCTGCCTCGAAGCATAGGCTACGACTTTCCTCTGCTGCATGAGAACACAACCGAAGCCCATCTTCGAAGCATCACTATAGATGGTGAACTCCAAAGTAGGGTCAGGTATCGATAGGACAGGCGCGGTAGTGATTCTCCTCTTCAACTTCTGGAAACTCTCCTCGCACTGAGGACTCCAATCAAACCTCACGGCTTTCTTCATAAGGTTGGTCAGTGGCTGGGCTATCTTCGAGAAGCCCTCGATAAACCTCCTGTAGAATCCTGCTAACCCCAGGAAACTACGAACATTTGCAGCACTTCTTGGCGTATCTCATTTGCTCACTGCCTCAATCTTGCTGGGATCCACCTCAATGCCTTGAGCTGTCACAATGTGGCCAAGGAATGCCACACGGTTCAGCCAGAATTCGCACTTCGAGAACTTAGCATACAACTTCTCGTGGCGAAGAGTCTCCAGCACAATCCTCAGATGCTCCTTGTGCTGATCGATATCTCAGGAATAGACCAGAATGTTGTCGATGAAAACAATGACGAACTGGCCCAGGAAAGGATGAAAGACCCTATTCATAAGGTCCATGAAAACGGCTGGGGCATTGCTGAGTCCGAACGGAATGACTACGAACTCATAGTGGCCATAGCGGGTACGGAAAGCAGTCTTAGAAATGTCCGACTCTCGGATCTTCAGCTGATGATAGCCAGAATGCAAGTCGATCTTTGAGAAAACGCTGGCTCCCCTCAGCTGGTCGAAAAGGTCTTCAATATGGGGAAGGGGGTACTTGTTCTTGACTGTAAGGGCATTCAATTCCCGATAGTCAATGCACATATGCATAGATCCATCTTTCTTCTTCACGAATAGGACGGGCGCACCCCACGGTGAGACACTCGGACGAATAAAACCGAGCTTAAGTAACTCCTGGATCTAGGCCTTGAGCTCTTGAAGCTCCTTTGGCGCCATACGGTAAGGGGCCTTAGAAATGGGGCCGGCTCCTGGAATTAGGTCAATAGTGAACTCCACCTGGTGGTCTGACGGTCCTCCGGGTAATTAATCAAGAAAGACGTCGAGGTACTCGCAAACAATAGATACTCCCTCGGGCACCCGCTCATCAACAACGTTGGATACCATGGAAACAAGATAGCCTTGACAGCTACCCTTGGAAAGGCTCTTCCTAGCTTGCATAGAAGAGATGACCCGAGGCACAGTCCTCGAACTCACCCCAAAGAACACAATGGGCTGATCAGAAACGGGATGGAGGGTGACTTTGCGCTCCTGGCACCGGATATCGGCTCGGTAACGGGTGAGCCAGTCCATGCCCAAGATCACGTCAAAGTCTCGCATATCAATAACATAGACGTCGGCCTCTAGAACTCGACCACCGATACAGATAGGAAGATTGCGACCCACTGAATCAGAGATAATAATTTTTCCCGAGGCTAAACTAACCTCGAGAGGATCACAAGCATGCACGGTGCCAATAGATAAAGCCTCCAAACAACGAGAAGACATAAAAGAATGGGTAGCACCGGTATCACATAAAGCAAAGACAGGCACATGGGATATCGAAAGCATTCCGGACATGGTACCTGCATTGCGAGCGGCCTCATCATTGGTGATGGTGTACACACGGGCCTGACCCCCAGTCCTCTGCTGGAATGGTGGGGGCTGCTGCTGCTGATGAGGAGATGGTGGGGGAAGCTGTTGCTGCTGCTGAGGGTAGGGCGGTTGTTGCTGATAAGGAGGTGGTGGGGGAAGTTGTTGCTGCTGCTGAGGGTAGGGCGGCTGTTGCTGTTGCTGTCTCTTCGGCTCACGGCAGACATTGGCATAGTGTCCCGGACGGTTGCAGTTGAAGCAGTTGCATTGGTTAGCTAAGCACTCGCCACTGTGGGATCGGCCGCATTTTGGGCAGGTTTGGCCAGTGGAGGACCGGTTGTCGCGTCTATCGAAATTCCCCTTCTTTTCTTTCTTCTTGTTCTGGAAGTCGGACTTCCTCTTGCTCGAACTAGAGCCGTCTGCATAGATGAGATGGGCTGAGCGTGCTGGACAACGGTCTGAGATGGCTGGGAGGCATGATAATAAGAAGGAACTGGAGCTATCGGAATGAGACAGCTCTCTACCTTCTGAGCCCGACTAACAGTGTCGGCGAAAGACATCGGCCCGTGACTTCCCACCAGTTCACGGATCCTCTGGTTGAGCCCCTTGAGAAACTTGCAGGCCTTCTTGGCATCGGTGTTCACTGCGTCGCCCGCAAAAAGGCACATGCGGGTGAAAGTGCGGATATACTCATCCACTGTGGAGCTGCCCTGCTGCAAGTGGTAGAACTCATGCTCCATCCTATCCCAAAAGCTCTGGGGAAGGAACTTGCTGCGCACCATCACTTTCATCTTCTCCCAAGTGAGAGCATGGAGCTCCGCCTCTGGCCTCCGGGCCCAGTTGTCAATCCACCAGTCAGAGGCGTCCTCCTTCATCTGATAAGCTGCAAGGGATACCCGCTGACGGTCCGGGAGGGGGAGTACCGCAAAAATCTTATCCAGCTCTTTCATCCACTCCAGCACCGCTGTGAGGTTCTCAGTCCCTGCAAAAGTGGGTGCATTCATCCTCTGAAACTGGACGATAAGCTGAGTGAGGTCCATGGCCAGAGGGGCCTGATGATGACGACGAGGCGGGGAAGGAGTCGGGGATGGCTGACGGTTACGGTTGTAGCGGGTATTCATGATTCTACATTGAATAAGTCGGACAAGGTTAGCACAAAACAAACAAGATAATCATAATTACAGAAGTCTAGAGTTCGCCAATAAACACTAGAGTTCGATTAAATCAAGGTGGATAGATCCTAAGCCCCAAAATTAACAATTACACCACAAGTAGTCTCATTACCACATGTGTACCATTTACATATCAAGTATTTTCATTAATACTTAAATCAAACATACCTTAAGCAGCGCGGAGTGACGGAGACGAGTGGTCATAACACAAGGTCTAAACATATAATCACATATGTGCCAGTCTACAGAAACGCAACCTGGCTCTGATACCAAACTCTAACACCCCACATTGATTTTACATAAATTCCAGACTTTCCAAAAATCAGTACAAATTTTTCGAGATCATTTTTGAAACTTAATGGGTGTTAAACAACATTTTCATAACCCAAGTCTTATCTGGGCCCCCGGGGATTCATTACCCGATTTTCACAAATGGTTTTCATTAACCAAACATACCATACAAGACTTAATACTCAACATGAATAATCAAACTACATCATCATAACCAATAATCGAGGGTTCCACAAGTTTTCCGAAAACAAACAAGTCATAAGTTTTGGAAACAGGTTTAAGCAAGTCTCAACATAAAGGTTCATAAAGTTTTATTTATTCAAACAGAAGCAATAAATGCATGACCGACTCACTCGCCTCTTCTCGTCACCCAGCTCCTGCTTAACCTGCATCGGTGTAGATCAGGTGGGGATGAGCACAAGATGAAAAGCGTGCTCACCACAATGCACATATATCATCAATAATAATAATGTAAAGGAGGTATGGTTAAAGTATGAACATAAATCAATTATTCTGTCACGTCTCCTAATCACATCACAACATCATACCCACGTGTACACATCTTTCATTAGCCAAGGAAAGGAGATTCATTGCCCTAACTCATGGGGGTACGTGCCATACGACAAGACACGGCCTTTCATTAGGTCTTACGGAGACTTACCTCGCAAGGTAACCGTATTACATCAACGGGGACAACCGTACCGACGACCGAAATTGGCTCACGCCGATAGGCTACATGGTTCACATACATACTTAAATCATACCAACTCAACATCAAACCAAACACATACGGCATAGCAAATTTTAGATTAAAACCCACCTGGATAGCTCGGTAGAAAATTGCACACAAGAGCAAGTACGTAGGATGAGGCTTGACACCTCAAATACCTACATTTAAGCGAGATAATTTATCAATAATTTATCTCACTACTCAAATTTAACATAAAACCCATACTTAATAAAAATTAAGTCTTAAGGGTTTTAATCGGATTTTTCGTGGACTTGGAACTCTCTCATTTTTTGAAAAAAATAAGGGGGTGATTGTTTATTAGTTGTACAGTAATTTTTTTACTCAAACTCAAATTTAACTCAACTTTAACTCAACCCCACTAACTCAACCCAACTTTAATTCACTATTCATCTACTCACATAATTTTAACTAATTTTAACTAACTATCACTTCCAATCATTTTCTCTTACTTTTACATCAAATCAATTTTAACAATTTTATTTTAAATACTATTTTAATATATCCACTAACAACTAACCATACCACCTTTTCTTAAACTTAACCATAATTAAAAAAATTCTAGATTTTTTACTATTCAAACCATAAACAATCACCCCCTAAGACTCGGAGGATAAATTTTGGAGTCTCGGGACTTAAATAATTTTTCCCAAAATTTTATCATTTTAAAAATATTTTTAAAGTTAAAATTGGTATAAAAAATGGGTTCCGGAACACAAAAATTTGGTAAAAAATTGAATTGGGCTGTTAAGTTAAAACTGGGACAAGATGCCAAAACATTTGGGCCTATTATATTCTAATTGGGCCGCTCAAAGGGCCTGGTAGACTGGTGAGGACGTGGGCTGGAGACGGGCCAGCGCGGGCCAGCAGCTGAGAGAGTAATTGGGCCAGATGCGGGCCAAGTGCGGGCTGGATAGCCCGCGCTGCTGGGCTGGGGAGAAATTCAAAAATAAATATGCAGAGGCAAGGTTCGAACCCTTGACCTCGCGCGAAGTGATGGGCACAGTCACTGCTGCACCACACGCCCGATTTGCAAATTAAAATGAAATCTCATAACACTTAAACTAAAATTAAAACCTGGGATCTGCACACAAAAAAAAAAGACAGAGACAGAACATTCGAACAGGGATGCAAAACAAGCTCCTAATGGTCGAATTTCAACAGAAATTTCACAGAGGGGTTCGAACATTTGCAACACTAGCGAACATACATTTTCCCAGAGTTCCCGGAATGTTTATAAAACGAGTTTTTGAATAAAAATCAAATCGACAATATTATGGCTTGAAAAAACAATAAACGACACAACCAAGTCGACAAGGTTCGAAACAATAAAACGAGACTCTGAACTTATAAAAATTTGTCACAGCAACGCAACGATATCTGACTTTATGAAATCGAGAGTTCCAATTTCCTCCGAAAATCCACGAATAAACGAAATATACACACAAACAATTAAGTGAACCAAAAACAATCCGATTTCAAATCAACTTTCGGTAACCGAACACATTATATATATAACGCGTGATATATGAAAACGACCGTATTAACGGGAGGATTAGAATAAGATACCCGACTTCGGGAAACTATGAATTATTGAACGGGAAACGGGCCAAACGACGGGACAGCCGAACGGCTTTGAGCTTGAACCTTCGAGCACGGGTCTGAGGCTGTTGGACAAGAACGATGATGGTGTGGGAGGGTCGATTGCTGATTGTCGGAATAAGGTGCTTCCCGGAGGTTGCTGCTGTTGAAAGGACTCGCCGGAAAGCAGGT